AACATGTAGGGTTTTTTTTATAAAACAGACTACTATTGTGCCATAAAGAAGGATAAGCTTGAGACAGTTCTAGCTAAATGGATGTATCTTGAGACCATACTCGTAAGCGAGATAAATCAGACACCTGTATGAATACCACATTGTTCTCTGGTGTGAGAAACTGAAAGTGTGAATGAGGACCACAATGTGTAGTAGATATTGGGAAATGGGAAGAAAATGTTCAAATGAGAAGGGGAACAAGGGAGAGGTAGGAGGAAAGGAAAGAAGGGAAAAGGGAAAAAAGAGAAAAGAAGGAAAAATGGAAACAAAGCTTTTGTAAATAAGGAGGGAAAAAGGGCTCAAAGGGAGGGGGGAATGGGAAAAAAAGGAAATAAGACCTATCATGTACAGGTACAAATTCCCTATGATGAGTGTTATCATTACGTATATCTAAAATATACCAGTAAAGATTTTACTTCAAAAATTTTGAATATATGGCAGCCATTATTATTATATTAGTTCTATTGATCTAGGCTGTTTTTCCCTCTCTTTCTGACTTTTTTTTCCTGTTTATCTTTTCCCCTCTCCTTTTTTCTGTCTGTTGATCTCCATATTTAGGTCTTCACTAGGGCTAAGAGCTCCATGAAGCCAGGGCAATGGTTGCCCCAGTCACCAGAGTCCCCAGCATTGCAAGGGCAGAGCCTGGTACCTAACAAATGGGAAGACAGTGGTGACAGGGGCAGCCCCAGCCCAGCTCCCCAGGGCTCACAGTCCGAGAGGGAAGAACTATTTGCTGAGAGGATGAATAAACTGACTTGGAGATGGGCTTGGAAGATGACCGAAGATAGAGAGAGCACCTGGGCGTGGCACCACACCTGGATAATCCCCACACTCTGGGAGGCTGAGGCAGGAGGATCGCGGTGAGCTTGAGGCCAGTCTGAACTACATCTCAAAACCCTGTCTCAAAAAATCCAAACCAAACCAAAACAAGATGGAGGGAGGCAATTTAGGTAAATTGTGAAGAGAAATGTTGGGAGTGCTGAGGCGAGTCTGAGGAGTCAGGAAGGCATGGAGACAAGGCTGGGAAGCTCAGCAAAGGCCTGGAAGGTAGTGGGGAGGAGCCTGTGCTTCCCCTGAGGGCACTGGGGAGCCACCGCAGGTTCGGAGCACGTGAGAGACAGGATGAGATTTGGGCTTTAGCAGGGCCCTCTGGCTGCCGGGCTGCCTTGGCGGATGGGAGTAGGGGTAGAAGAGTGTGCTAGCCCCCAGAAGGAAAACTTTCAGGTCAGCCTGCTGTCGTCGAGGCTTGGAAAGGGGTTGCCTCAGCTTGTCCACCGCCACCAGGGGGCAGCAGGGAGCCCTACAGGACTGACCACGCGGCCCCGGCTGAGTTGTGTGCTCAGCATTTGAAGATGCAGGAGGTGGAGCTGCCTGGATGCCTGGAGAGCCCCAGCTGGGAGCCCCTCTGCTTTCCTGCCCGCCCCCCCCCGTCACCTCTGGGCCCCTGGACCCCCTACCTCACCCAGCTCCAGATTATGTCAACATCGTCCTGCCGCTGGCTTGCGGACGGGACAATATTTGCCCTCAGGATCTGGGGAGGTCGCTATGGAGACTGGCGCTGTCTTTTTCCCCAAGTCCTAGAAGAGGCTGAGAGGAGCTAAGGCTTTTACATTGAACTACACCCCCAGCCCACTTTTAATTTTTTCTTTGAGGCAGGGTCTTGCTAAATTGCTAAGTTGCCCAGGCTAGGCTCAAACTTGAAATCTTCCTGCCTCAGCCTCCCAGAGTGCTGAAATTCTGGGTGTGAGCCTCCACACCAAGCCTGTTTCTTAGATCTTGTTTCTTTGGGTCTCTTTCTCCATCCTTCATGCACTCTGAGTCTCCATGTCTATGTTTCTGTCTGTCCAGCCTCTGTACCTCTTTGTATCCCTGTGTTTTTAGGTTTGTCTCTCTCGGTGTCTGTCTCTGGATAGTCGTGTCTTCCTGTCTGTCTGGATCCTGTCTCACTGTGTGTCACGGTCCCTTTGGTCCCTGTCTGGGTCTCTGTCCCCATTGCCCCATGTTGGTGGCCGTGTCTCGCTCAGGCCATCTCTGTCTCTCTCTTGCCACCGCTCTCTGTGTCTCTCCATCTTTGTGCATGCATCTCTCTCTGGCTTCTCTCTGCAGTCCTGAATCTCAGGGAGCTGGCTCAGCCTCCTAGTTCTGGCCTCAGTCCCCATGGGGTGCCCCCTTTCCCCATATCTCTCTGCCTCATTTCTCCTGCACCATCTGCCTGAGCCCCAGGCCCCTGCTGCTCCCCAGGCAGGCGCTGCTCGGCCTGTCGGCCCCATGGGGACAGCGGCTCTCAGCCTCCATTCCGGGTGGGCGGGGCTACTGCCTGGTCAGCGCTGGGGGCCGAGGTGCAGGGACCAGAGCCGGGAGCCCCCAGCCTGGGGGCAGTGGAGAGAGCGACACCTGACAGACACCTGAAAGACAGGACAGGAGGAGAGAGGAAGGAGAAAGTTTCTAAAGGCTGGCAAGTGGGGACTGGCCCGGAGAAAGAAGCAGAGAGACAGAAAGCGGCAGGCACAAGGGGCTGGCGGAAGGGAGAGAAGGCGAGACAAGAGACCAGACGGAGGGGTTGGAGCCAAGGAGGAGGCGGGAACAGGACCCCAGTGAAAGGAGGTGGGGGAGAGGCCAGGGAGAAGAGGGCAGCGATGAGGGGCAGAAGAGGGGGAAAGGCTGGGCCAGGGGACAGGGACTGAGGCAGGAGCAGCAGTGTGGAGACCCGGGTCCCCTGCGAGGCTCGGCTGTGCCACATGGCTGCCTGGACAAAGGCACCAGGCTCCCGTCTGCCCCAAGTCTCCTGAAGCCCCAGCATAGGACTTGCTGTCCCCTCCCCAGAGGGCTGGATGGGATGGGAGGGGCCGGTCAGGGGCCCGGGCATCTGCCCTCCCTCCCCACCCTGTGTTCCCGAGAGGGAGTGCTCGGCTCCCAGGGCAGGCAGGACTGTCTCTCCTCACAGCCCAGCTCGCAGGCTCCCGCCCCTGGCCCCTGCCGCTGCAGTGCCATAGCCCACCTCTCCGTTTCTTGTGTTTCTGTCTCTCTCCTGCTCCTTGCCCTTCTCTTCCACTCTCCTTTTTTTTTTCTTTCTTTATATTTTGAGACAGGGTCTCCCTGTGCAGTCAGGCTGGTCTTGAACTCACTATGTAGCCCAGGCAGTGATCTTCCCGCCTCAGCCTTCTGAGTGCTGGGATTACAGGCATTAGCCACCAAGCCTGGCTTCCCCTTCCCCTTCCTCTTCCCCTCCCCTTCCCCTTCCCTTCCTCTTCCCTTCCCCTTCCCTTCCCCTTCCCCTTCCCTTCCCTCTCCTCCCTTCTCCCTCTCTGTCTCTCTCTCTCTCCTTCCCTCCCCTCTCTTCCTGCCTGTCTCTCCTTCTAGCTCTCTCCGTCATCGTCTTTGTTTCTCTTCCTGCCTCTCATGCCACCTCAGCTCCTCTCCCCTGCTTCCTCCTCCCCCTCATTGGAGTGACTCTCCCCACCCTCTTGGGACCAGGGTGACTCCTCCCTAGCCCCAGCCTCTCCAGGAGGTGCTGAGCCATCTCAGACCCTCTTCCCTGTCCACTTCAGGATGGAGCTTTCCCAGGACCCGAGGGCACCAGGAATGTGGGCCAGAGGGCAGGGAGGCCCCAGAGGGCAGATGGCAAGGACCCTACACCCCAGACTTGTCTCCTTCCAGCCTGTGATGCAGCCCTCAGGCCACGCCTTGCTGCCCACCCCTATGAGGCCTCTGGGCCTTGGTTTCTCCTCTGCAAAATGGGCAGGCTCTCCTCTGTCCCACGCATCTTTGAGTCCCGAGGGAGTGTGTGGTCATGCTTGTTAGTGTGATTAATGAGCAGGAGGCGGTGGTGTGTGTTAAAGGGGGTGAGGCCCTGAGGGCGGGAACTGGGTCCTGAGCCTTCCCCCATGGGCGATGTTCCCCCATTTAGGGCAAAGAAAGAGCCTGGAAGCAGAGATTGGAAATCTGTGTGACTCAGGGGTGACTGTGACCACGAAGCTGTGCAGCTGTGGGATCGCATGTGGCACTCGTTGGAGTGTGTGGGACTGGTGAGTGTGGGGTTCTGTCTGTCTCGGGGAGCTGTCCGTCCAGGAGACCACACCGCTGCCTGTGAACGTGTGAGCGCTTGTGACAGCAGGTGCCGGGGTGACACTTGAGGGATGTGTTTTGGGGTGGGACATCATGTGGAGTGTGTGGCTGAGTGGACACTAGCAGGTCTGGTCCCCTAGCACCTTGTGTGACTGGAGAGAACCGTGCAAGCCTGTGAGTAGCACACGAAGTGTGCATTTACCACATTGACGTCATCCCTGGAATCCCTGCTCTGGGCAAACCTGGGGACCCCTGGTGATGGAGGTGTCCTGGTCCTCTCCATCGGGCCCCGCAGGAGGGGAGGACAGGGTGGGGGAGAGAGGGTGCTTGTGACTTGTGTCACTGACAGCGTTCCCGGGGCCTTGGGGCACTGACTGTTCCCAGCGTGTGTGTAGGAGTCCGCAGCACTGCACAGCCACCCGCCTCACCCTGTGGTGTGGATGGCGCTGCGCTCCTGTGAATGAAGTGTGACTCCAAGGAACAGCGGCCCAGCTTCCTTCCGTGCCTGTGTGTGCCTCTCTGGGGCTCAGCGATGGGGCTGTGCGTGACACTTGTGTGTGACTGTGGCCGTGTGTGCACACTGGGACCTGAGGGCTGAGTGGAGGTGGAGAGATGGTGGACACCAGGTGGAGGGTCCTCAGAACTGTGACTCCTCTCCCCTGTGACACCGACTGACTGTGCTACTCAGGGTCGGGTAGGGCGAGGGCCCTCTGCTTCCGGTCCCCAGCTCCCCCTCCAGCCTCGGTTCCGCCCTGGCCCCGCCCCCTCCCACCACCCCAGGCTGCCAGCGCCTGTCACCTCTTCCAGAGCACAGGCGAGGACCCGGAGGCAGCGGCAGAGGGAGCGAGTGACCAGGAGAAGGACTGGGAACAGGTGAGGGCAACCCCTTCCCCACCTGCACCCCCAATCCCCCCGTCTCTGCTCTGGGCCTCGGGTCCCTCTCCAGCTCCGGCTCCGCCTCACCCCACGCCTCTGTGTCCTGCCTGTGCCCAACCTGTATCTGTCTCTGAGTGTCCGTCTCGGCTGAGCCTCCAGACGGCTGTCTCTTCTAGGCCTCTTTTCCTCCCTCCGTCTCTCTGCATGTCTCTGCCCTTTGGTTTCTGGTCTCTTGCTGTGTGTCTCATGGTCACTCCGTCTTGCGTCTCTCTACTCCTGTCTCCTGTGTCTCTGTCTTTCTGGGGCTCTGTCTCAGATCCCCCTCGCCTCCCCTTTCCCTGCACTGTGAGTGCCCCCGGGGAGGAGCCAGAGAGTATTGGGGTTAGAACAAAGGATTTTCAGGCATCTGGACCCCTGCCGATCTAAGCCCAGGGTCTGATGCCTCTCGGGTCCCTAGGTATTTGGATGCTGGGAGGGCTTGTCACGAGGACTGTGGGCTTTATCTGAACATATGGGGAAAGTTTTGTAAGGTCGGGCTCCTATCTGCATCTGGGAAACCTTTTGGGCTGAAAGAATGGGAACTCAGATGGGCGTTTCAAGCTCCCCCACAGCCTTGGCTGACAGTTTCTACTCGCTCCTCTCCTTGGTGATCCGCAGGTCCCCCGGGGTCTGTAGGTCTAGACTCTGAGTGACACTGACGCTTCTGCCCAGCGCAGTTCTAGGGCAACAGCCCCCTCGGCAAACACCCTCCCTTCCACCGCCGCTGCCCCAGCAACAGTTGGGGGCGGCCGGAGCCTCGCGCTTAGGTTCCCGGTTCCAGCCACCGCCGGAGGCCACGCCCGTCCCACCGGCTCCGCCCCGCCCCAATCCGGAGGCGGCCGGGCCTCCAGCGCACCTGTAGGAATCCCTAAGGCGAGTGGGCGCTGGGTTGGAGTCCCAGGGCGAAGGGCGGAGGGGGCTGACTTTGTCCTGGGACCCTCCAGCCCCTCCTCCGCCCTCGTGATGCTGAACTCTTGGCCCTTACGGGCGCTGCTGCTGCTGTCGCTATGGGGGCTGCCGCTGCGGAGGGCGGAGGTGAGGACCCTGGGACTCAGAAGCTCGGGCTTGGGGGGAGGGCTGGGTTTCAAGGCCTCTCATTCAGAGTTTTGCCCCGCTTGCTCAGACTCAAGTTTTGATGATAGTTTGTACTCTTCCCCTACTCCCACAAATCCTCCTGATGAGGTCCAGTCACCGTGCCCTCTTCCACTTTCCTAAAGGGTTGCAGTCTCGGGTAGCAAATCCCTTGGCGGTTTCTAGGCACCCCTCAGAGGTTTCTAGGCTACCCAAGACTGCCGTGCAGGAGACAGCCCCTCCAAGTCTCTGTCTAGGGTGTTCGTGGCTCTAGCGAGCTGAGCTGCCTGGGAGCGGGGGTCCGTCTGGGGGGATCCTCCCTTCTCTCTTCTCCTAGACAGGTTCTGGGGGACAAACGGCGGGGGAGCTGTACCAGCGCTGGGAACGGTACCGCCGGGAGTGCCAGGAGACCCTGGACGCCGCGGAGCCGCCCTCAGGTTGACGCCAGAGGCCAGGGGCTGGCGGGAGGAACTGGGGCTAAGGGGTGGGCTTGGGGCGGGCCTGGGGCTGAGGACGGGGTCTGAAAGAAGAAATCTGAGATTGATGTGGCTGGGTCCGGGGCGTTTAAGTGGGGCTGCCCCGAGAGCAGTGAGACCTGCTGCGGTGAGACCTGATTAATCGGTGACTCTGAGAACCGGGCGTGGTAGCGCACGCCTGTGATCTCCTTACTCGGGAAACTGAGGCAGGAGGATCGCCGGGAGTTCGAGGCCAGCCTGGGCTATGTAGTGAGTTCAAGGCCAGCTGGAAATACATGAGAGACCCTGTCTCATAAAATAAAATTTTAAAAAAGTTGACTTCAGAGAAGAAGCTGGACAGGGAAGGGATCTTGGGACCGTGCTAGCCCTGAAGGGGCGGAACTCCGGAAGGCCCTCCCTACGTGGGAAGAGTCGGTCTGAGACTTCCTTGGTGGGAGGAGCCAGGCTGGGATTTGGGTGGTGGGCGGAGCCTGTGGTCTTTCAGGGACCAACGGGCTCCGGGTGGGTGGGGCTAGAGCGGGGCTGGCTTGAGCGAGAACCGCTGGTCCCACCGCACAGTAGGTCCACCCAGCATCTGACCTCATGTCCACCCCAGGCCTCGCCTGCAACGGGTCCTTCGATATGTACGTCTGCTGGGACTATGCTGCCCCCAACACCACTGCCCGTGCGTCGTGCCCCTGGTACCTGCCCTGGTACCGGCAAGGTGAGGCGTTCCCTGGACTCGCGACCCCCAGGCCCCACTGCCCTGCAGCTCTCACACAGCCTCCTGCTTCTGTCCCTGGCCCTTCACTGTCCCCTCCCCTTTTGGTCAGGCTGTGTCCCCTCTGTCTCTCAGGACAGTAGGGTTCTTATTTTCTCTCCTTGTTTTGAGGCTGTCTTCCTGTTTTGTTGTTTTCTTCCTGTTGGTCTCCCTGGCCTCGCTAGCTATGCAGCCTCAGGCATTTATTTTTAACTTCTTTGTGCCTCCATTTCCCCATCTATAAAATGGGGTTAATGATAGTAGCACTTTCACAACCTTGTATAAACATTAAGTTGACACATGTAAGGTGTACACGGGCTTGTGATCATCATATCGCTTTCACGCTCCCTTCACACAGGCTGTGTCTAGCTCTCTTTCTGTGTGCCTCTGATCCCCTCCCTTGTCCTCTCACAGTGGCTACAGGCTTTGTCCTCCGATGGTGTGGCAGCGATGGCCAGTGGGGACCTTGGAGAGATCATACTCAGTGTGAGAATCCAGAGAAAAACGGGGTGTTTCAGGTAATAAGAGGCCAGGGATTCGGGTTAGGGTGTCTAGGGAGAGGTGAAAGGACTGGCAGCCCACTGTGCTTGCTCAGGGCTCTGCGTTGCAAGGAATAGAAACCCAACTTGGACTCACAGGAGGAAAAGAGAAACATATTGGCTTCGAATTTAAAAGTCCAGTGTAAGACAACAGCTTCAGGAACAGAGAGATGTAGGTGCTCAAAAGACACAGCGGGAAATCTCTCGGTTTCTCACCATCTCATGCCTGCTTTCCTCTGTGCAGACCTCAGGCTGAGCTTTCCCCTCCACAACCCCAGCATCACATCCCAGGACTGACACTGTCTTGGCTGGGTGCTGTGGTCTGTGTGGGTGAATCCATGCGGGTGGGGTGTGTGTTGGGGAGAATGCTCACACTGGCTGGAAACATCCCAGCCCTGGAGCTGAAGAGAGAAGCAGCCCCACTCAAATAAGGGTAGGTGGTGGCTCAAGGGAAAACTGGGCTGTTGGGAAGGAACAAAGAGGAAAAGACCAACTTTCCCACTGGGAAGCCCCTCCTGGGCCTGCAGTCAGAGCCTCATTCCCATGCTCTCCTCACCCCCACCAGGACCAGAAGCTGATCTTGGAGCGGCTGCAGGTGGTATACACCATTGGCTACTCCCTGTCCTTTGCCACACTGCTGCTAGCCCTGCTCATCTTGAGTTTCTTCAGGTGGGACCCCCAACCCCAAGTGGCCATGGTAGAGAAGCCTCAGGCTTCCCAGTAAGATGGGGTGATGGGTTTCACCAGCTCTGAGCATCCCGGGAGGGTTCTATGAGAAGGGCTCTGTAGGTGGTTAACTGCATGTGGCAGAGGACAGCTCTGCAGGGGTCCCCAGATTGCCTCTCAAATTCCACAGGCGGCTCCGCTGCACTCGTAATTACATCCACATCAACCTGTTCACGTCCTTCATGCTGCGTGCGGCAGCCATCCTCACCCGAGACCGCCTCCTGCCTCCGCCTCGGCCCTACCCTGGGGATCAGACCCCTATCACGTGGAACAAGGTGCGCCTCCTCCTTCCTATCCTCCAAAGGGGAATCTGCTGCCCCCTCTGGTGGACCTCCTCCACTTACTACCGGCAAACACCTTTGGAGAGGGACCCTCCCAACTCAGCCTCCTCCACTGTTGAATCCCCCTTCCCTTTCCCTTATTGGAATTTTCCATTCCAGGTGATTATGATGGGGCTTTTCCACCTGAGCGGTGGTGAGGGAGCCAGGATGGAGGAAATTAGTGGGGTGGGGGTGGGAGAGAGGGAGAGTACCAATTTGTTACTGGAAGAGGGGGGCGACCAGTAACAAGGGGCCATACCACTTGTTAATGGAGGGGTCCATAAGCTGGCATGAAAGTTCAGTTCTTAGGAGGCCGCGTGGCAGAGGATATATTTTGAGGTTCTGGAGGAGGGACTCTGGTGACAGAAAGGAAGATGACAGTTATTAAGGTGTTCAGAATGCGAGGGTTCATATAGAAAGGAAAGAAAACAGGGTGAGAGAAGCTAACCACAAATACCATCCATCCACTGGGGACCTTGGGTGGGAGAATATTTGAAGCCACCGTCCGACCCTCCCCAGGCCCTAGCCGCCTGCCGCACGGCCCAGATCGTGACCCAGTACTGCGTGGGTGCCAACTACACGTGGCTGCTGGTGGAGGGCGTGTACCTGCACCGGCTCCTGGTGCTCGTGGGCGGCTCAGAGGAGGGCCATTTCCGGGGCTACCTGCTCTTCGGCTGGGGTGAGCCCCGACCCCGACCCCGCCCAGCCCAGCCCAGCGCTCCTCGGCTCCCCACTGCCCAGCTGGTCTACCTCAGGGGGTCACCTTCCTCTCCATGCTTCTGCCTCCCCACCCCGGCAGAGGAATCCCGCGGGTCGTGGGCCTGGAGGAGCCCGTGCGCGCGCTGACGGCTGCGGCGGGGTGGGGGGCGGGGGTCGGGGTCTGCACAGGGGCCCCCGCGCTTTTCGTCATTCCCTGGGTGATCGTCAGGTACCTGTACGAGAACACGCAGTGAGTTGCAGGGTCTGGGGCGGGGCCTGGGAGGTGGGTGGAGCTTTGAGGGACGTGGGCGGGGATCCCTGGAAACCTGGGCAACGGGGGCTGGGGCGAACCTGGGCGGAGTCTGAAGGAATGGGCAGTTGGAGAAGGTTGTGTTCTAGGACTTCTAGGACGCCTGGAAAGGGGCAGGGCCTTTCTAGCAACGGGGGGGGGGGCCTTTAAAGAGTGGGTGGGCCTTAAATGAGGTGGGCGTGGCCCGGACAGCGATGGTGGTGATACAGAAAATCCAGACATTTCCTCAGTTCTCGCCTGCCTCCCCCAGGTGCTGGGAGCGGAACGATGTCAAGGCCATTTGGTGGATCATACGCACTCCCATCCTCGTAACCATCTTGGTATGGACGGTTCCTCTTCCTCCAGGCCGTCCTCAAGGATTTCCCATTCTGGGAAGCGGGGAGTCATTTCCTGCCCCCCAGATTGGGTCGTATCTGGCTCAGCCTCTCTCTCCTTGCAGATTAATTTCCTCATCTTCATGCGCATTCTTGGCCTCCTTGTGTCCAAGCTGAGGATGCGGCAGATGCGCTGTCCGGACTATCGGCTGAGGTGAGGGTGTTGAGGGGGAGCCCGGGAGAGGAGACTGGCGCAAGGTGCGGCCCCGAGCACCAGGGACCAATGCCGCCGTCTGTCTCCAGGCTGGCTCGCTCCACGCTCACTCTGGTACCTCTGCTGGGCGTGCACGAGGTGGTGTTCGCTCCGGTGACCGAGGAACAGGCCCGGGGCACCCTGCGCTTTGCCAAGCTGGGCTTTGAGATCTTCCTCAGCTCCTTCCAGGTGCTCGGGCGGGGCCCGGGGGCTGCAGTCGTCCCCGAGTGGGGTGTGACGATGGGAATGTGTGCAAAATACCGAGCTGGAGCTCCCCCGGGCTGGGGAGGCAGCTGGACCGAGGCTGGAGACTGCGGACCCGGCAGTACCGCCCCCTGCAGGGAGCAAGGGCTGGACATGGCACACAGCTGGGGTCACATTCAGGTTCCGTCACTTCCCAGGAGCTTGTCAGCTGTGTGGCCTTCACCTCGGGTAGAGACCAGGATGAGGAAAGTGGGAGGCCTCCGGTATAGAAATAAAAAAGTTGAGCCGGGGATTTAGCTCAGTGGTTTCACCGCCTGCTGTGCAAGAGCAAGGACCCGAGTTCGATCCCTGGTACCCCCTCCCCCCAAAAGAAGAAGAAATAAGAAAGTACTCAAGTTTAAGCTCAAATTTTAAAATTTTAAGCCAGTGCTGCACTTATTGGCCTTATTTCAGTAGTCCCTGCTTTGCTTCACCTCTTTGGGCCTCAGTCTTGTCATCTCTAAAGTGGGGACAATACCAGTCTCACCTCACAAGACTGTTCATTCATCAAATTCAGCAAAAAATTATTGAACACTTATCACCACTAAGCTGTCTTCCAGGTTTATGGTGGAGATAAGGCCAAGAACCAAATGGTCCATACTTTTTGGAAGACAGGCACTAAACACCATATACACAATGGCATGGTTAAATGTGGGGGGAGGGGCAGGAAAACTGATGCAGGGCCCAGGATTTAGCTCAGTGGTTCGGGCGCCTGCCTCACAAGTGCAAGGTCCCAAGTTCAATCCCTGGTACCAAAAAAAAAAAAAAAAAAAAAAAAAAAAAATGTGATGCAGCCAGGTGTGGTGCAGGCCTGTAATCCCAGCGTTCTAGGAGGCTGAAGCAGAAAGATGTAGCCCAGCCTGGGCAACTTAGCAACTTAAGTGTGTCCAAATTAAATATTTTTTAAAGGGTTGGGGATATAGCTCAGTATGAAGACACAGGGTTGAATCCTGAATTGGGGTAGGGGGCAGAGTATCCAAGGAAAGATGGCAGTGCTATTCTGGACTGGAGGTCAGGGAAGGCCTTGCTGAGGAGACAGTGGAGCAGAGAGCTGAGGAGGTGAGGAACAGTCAGTAGATATCTGGGGGTGCTCCAGGAGGAGAGGCACTAGGCACGAGACCTCAAGGAGGAGAGTGGCCACATTATACAGGGAGGCCAGGCTTCCTGAAGCTCCAGAGCCAGGGGGGGGGGGGGGGGGGGGGGAGTAGAGAGAAGTGAGGGGCCTTGGGGACTGAGCCAAACCTGTTTGGTGTCTTTTAATTAATTAATTTTGGGGTTTGTTTTTTTTAAGACAGAATTTCACTATAAAGCCCAGGCTGGCCTCAAACTTGAGGCTGTCTTCCTGCCTCAGCCTCTCAAAATGCTGAGATTACAGCTCTGCATCTGGCCAATTTTTAAAATTTCAGTATTTTGTTGTTTGATTTTTTTTGGTACCGGGGATCAAACTCGAGTCCTTGCGCTTGTGCAGCAGGCGGCAAAACCACTGAGCTAAATCCCCGGCCCTAGTTTATTTTTTTTGGTGGCACTGGGGACTGAACCAAGGGTCTTTTAGAATTTTTTATTTATTAGTTTTTAATCTTGAGACAGGGTCTCTCTCAATTGCCCAGGCTGGGCTTGAACTTGCCATCCTCTTGCTTCAGCCTCCTGAGCACTGGGATTACAGGCATGAGGCACTAGGTCCAGTACTCAATTTGGTTTTCCTCTGCTAGAACAGGAAGGATGTGATCTGAGTTTGATATTTAAATTTATTAATTAGTCATAAAATAGAAATAAGCTATTTACTTATTTTAATGTCGGGAATGAATGCAGGGCCTTGATCATGCTAAGCACCGCTCTGTCACTGTGCTACAGCTCAGCCCTATTTTGTGTTTATTTAAGTTCAGAGGTAGAACACATAGAAATATGAACTATTTATAATGAGTGGTAATAATAATGAATAAGATTAAGAAAAAGGTTAAGCCTGGGCAAGATGGTGCACACCTGTAATCTCAGCACTGGGGAGGCTAAGGCAGGAGGATCACTGCAAGGTCCAGGCCAGCGTGGGCTATATAGCGAGACCCTGTCTCAAAAGTAAAAGTTTAGCCGGGGATTTAGCTCAGTGGTTCCACCGCCTGCCTCAAAAGCATAAGGACTCGAGTTCAATTCCCAGTACCAAAAAATAAAAGTTTAAGGCTATATGCCAGGCACGCTGACTTCTTGCATATTAACAGTACCTTAATTCTCACAGCTACTACTAGATGGTAAAATAGAAGGCCCATTTTCCAGATGAAGAAACCGAGGCTCAGAGAGGCTAAGCAGCTTGCCCAGAGGGTACAAGTAGGGAAGGGGTCTTTACACTCAGGCCGCCTACTGCCAGGTGCCCTGTTCTTAACCCCTGTTGTGCAGCAAACCGGCAAGGGCAGGGGGAGAGCTGGAAGCAGGTGACCGCCATATTGTAGGACCAGGGTGGCGACATCCAATGTGCTCTGGGGCCGGTCAAGGGTTGGAGCACATTAAGGGGTGGTTGCAACGCTGTCCCCGCCCGCCATCTGACTCCCGTGCCTGCTCCTGCAGGGCTTTCTGGTCAGCGTCCTCTACTGCTTCATCAACAAGGAGGTAGGAAAGGCCCCGCTCGCCCCCTCTGCCGGGCGCGTGGGGAACGGCGCCGCCCCTGAGCACCCTGCTGTTGCAGGTGCAGACAGAGATCCGCCGGGGCTGGCACCACTGTCGCCTGCGCTACAGCCTCAGTGACGCGCACCGCCAGCGCCCAGAGCGCGTCTCCCGGGGCTCTGGCCCCGCCGATGTCCCCATTCATCACGCCTTGTCCTCGAAGTCGCTTCCAGGGCCTGGAGAGGAGGCCTTGGAAAGTTACTGCTAGCAACAGGGGAGGTCGTGTCTGTTCAGTATTGAGGGCCGGCTGTGTACCTGACCCGATGTGGGGGACGCTGGGGAAATGGCGAAGGAAACAAAGACAAAGTCCTTGCCCTCCTGGAGATGACAATGTACAGGGGAAACTGACTGTGAACACAGAACATCAAGTTACATGTTCTGTGCAGCGGTCATGAGAATTTGGGCGGCCCTGGGGGCCTGGGAGGCCATCTCTGAGGAGGTGACATCGAAGCCATGCCCGAGAGGTGGAGACAACTTTGTGGAGAACTGGAGGACAAGTTTCTAGGCAGAAGGTGAGGCACATGCAGGACGGGGTCTGTCTGTGGTGCTCGAGGCTGGAGTGGAGAAGTCTGAGCCCACAGGAGGGAGAGAAGTGAGCAGGGGCGCAGTGTGGAAAGCTTGCTTGGGGCACTAGCGAGCTCAGCAGGAGCATCCCATGGGCCAGCCTTTTCCACAGATCCCTTTGCCTCTGCCTTGGGGATCATCAGAGGGGTGGAAGCCAGGAGCCAGCTCAGTGAGGAGGGCACTGCAGGACGATAGTGGCTGCATAGATGGAGGCCTTGGAGGGTGAGGAGCTATTTTCAAGGTTCTGAGTGACTTTGTGAGGAAAGCACAGCAGAGACAGGGCAGGGGCATCATTTGGGGTGCATGAGAAAGGGGGGAGACTGGGTTCAGGGCTGGGGCAGAATGAATGCTCTTGGTATGTGTAAGGCTGGCATCACCTGTAGGGTATTCCCGGGGAGTGGATGTGAGGTGAACCCCAACACACATGAGGGGCCTGGGATGCAGAGGACCTGGGCTGCAGATCCTCAGGCAGTTCCAGGCAGGTCTCAGAGCCGAAACGCCTCTGAGCAGCCAGACCACTGCTAGCTGGGGCATGATGCAGCCCTACCCTCCTGAGATGGGGTCCCTGGGAACTGGGAGAAAGGGGGGTGAAGCCCAAAGCCTCATCCTGGCTGGACCCCTGGTCCACATGTAAGACCCCACTCCTGAACCCCCACACAACACACACTCGGCATCTTGGGCCCTCCAGCTCCCTGGATGGATGTGCCCCACAGCTGGACTTGGAGCCTTTTCAAGCTTACGCCCCTGCCGTACTCCGAACTGCACCCCTTTGCATTTAGGTGGGGTGGGGCCTAAGGCTAGGGTCCAGGAGACACTGTTGCTTTTTAAATTTCTGGGGTGGGAGAATCTCCGTGGCTGGGCCATAGAGGGAAATGACAGGTGGGCTGTATGGCTGGTGGGGGTTCACGGTGGCCTTGCTTAACTTCAGCCATGTCACAAGGAAATGTGGACGCTATGCCGCCACACTGCCCCTGCCCAAGAGAATCCCCAATTGGACTATTCTATGTACTCTCCTGATACTGAACTATCTAAGATATATACACAGATTTACATTATGTATGTGTGTGCGCCTCATTTTTGGAGGGCTGCTTCTCTGGAAAGGCAACACAGGAACCATAAAGCCGCGGGCACAGCCTGATTCCTGTCTTAGTTTGACCATTTGTTAGCTGTGTCACTTGGGAAAATTCCCCACCTCTGTGCCTCAGTTCCACTTCCAGAGTGGGTACAATGATGATACCTACTTCCCGGGGTTTCCCAAGTCCACTGACGCGTGGTGTAGGTCTGCAGGCGGCCATGTGCTACTCCTGCGACATTTGCTTTGGCTTCTGGCCATTGAGGCGGCAGGTGACTTGGGGCAGGCTGGGCCGAGATGAGGAACTTGAGACTGATGCCAGCCTGCAAGGCAGGCAAACCCATCCCACTTACTGCTAATTCAAGTCGTCAATCAGGGGATGCAGGGCAGGGATTCTGGACTGGGACCCCTCGTGAGGCCTTAGCTGTCTCATCTGTAAAACAAGGTGACTCCCAACATTTACCCTGTGGATGGCTGTTCCAGTTAGACGGAGACAACTCAATAAACACTGCCTTCATCAGCCTTGCACGTCAGGCCTCTCTGCTGCTGCAGGGTCCCCAGCTCCACCGAGGGCTCCAGGGCAACTCAGACTGTGCATTCCACAGCTCGAGTGCAACTAGAAGCCAAGCGTGGTGGCAAATGCCTATAATCCCAGCACTCAAGAGGCTGAGGCAGGAGGATTGCTGCAAGTTCGAGGACAGCCTGAACTACACAGTGAGTCCCTGTCTCAAAAAAAAAAAAAAAAGCATGCAACAGGCCAGGTGTGGTGGTACATGCCTGAAATCCCAACATTCTGGGAGGCTGAAGCAGGATTTCAAGTTCAAGATCAGCCTGAGCAACTGAGTGATTAAGCAAGAACTGATCTCAAAAAAAAAAAAAAAGGCTGGGAATTTAACTCCAGCTAAGGCACTGGGTTCAATCCCAGTACACACACACACACACACACACACACACACACGCACACACGCAGCTGGACATCTCATTTAATCCTGACCTTGGGCCTGTAAGCTACTGTACCCACTTGGAGTTTGGCCCCTGTGGAGGACAGACAGGGGACACAGGCAGACAGAGCAGAGACAGGGGTGGAAGAGGGCACATTATATGCTCAGAGGGGAAGCGACAGGCCAGCACAGGATGGGTTTGAATCAGCATTATCATTTCCTGGATCAATGCCCCTGGGAAATGATACCACCCCTCTGTGTCTCAGTTCCCCTCTTCTGGAAAACGGAGCCATAAATAACTGGCTGCCAGGCACAGTGCACACCCCTGCAATCCCAGTACTTTGGAGGCTGAGGTAGAAAGATGGCAAGTTCTAGCCCAGCCTGGGCAACTTAGCAAGGCTCTGTCTCAAAATCACAAACTAAAAATGAGCTGGGGATGTAGCTCAGTGTGAAGGCCTTGGGGTCAATAATTTCAATCCGCAGTACTGGGGGGAAAAAGCACCAGCCTTGGAGTTGCCAGCAGGATGTGTGAACAGTGCAGAGCCTGGCACCCTAGCAGCTTGGCCATGGTCAGTGCCAGCATTTGGGTAGTGACTGCTCTAAGTTCATATCCACTTCCTCAGTTCACAGGGGAGGCCAGGGTCTCTCTCGGACACTGCGTGTTCCTAGCTTTGCAACACAGACCTAGGGAATGTTTCCTGATGGAATAAATGAAAAAAAGATCCAAACAATTTCAAGCGAGGACATTTCTAACCTGTGCACTAACTGGATGGGACAGGGAGAGCTCCGGCCTCAGCATCAGCCCCATGCCCAGCTCCCTCCCTCCAGCCCATCCCACTCACAAGGCACTGGGATTGACAGATATCACCAAGAAAAGAAAAGAAAAAAAAAAACAACGCAGCACTTTATTATCACTGCATCACTAAGGACAGGACTTCGGAGGGCGGGAGGAGGTCCTGAGAGCAGGGCAGAGGCCCCTACTTGCCAGCGATGAGCGGGTTCCGCAGCACCACGATGACTGAGTCCCCGCGCAAGAACATCTTGGAGATGTAGCGGTCCTTGTTGACCGGCTTGGACTTCTTCTTGCCCTTGCCGCTCTTGGGGACCTCAGTCCACATCTCCTTCACGTTCTCCAGCACCATGTTGCAGTGCCTGGTGGGGCAGGAATGGGGAGGCAGAGGAGTGAGGGTGGGGGGGCTTCTGACCCCCTCCAGTAGTACCACCCTGAGAAGGGTGCAGGCCCTAGGCTAGGAGGGCCGGGCTGCCAATGCCACACCTGTACATTCTTTTGTTTTTTTGAGATAAGGTCTCACTATGTAGTCCAGGCTGGCCTCAAACTTGCAGGGATCCTCCTGCCTCAGCCTCTCAGGTGCTGGGATTACAGCCATGTGCCACCACGCCCAGTACTTGCCCATTCTTGGGCTGAGGTTTGGACCAAGGACTCTGCCCCACTGTGCTCAGTTTGCTCCCCTCTAGACAATCAGCACCTTCTCACAGGGCTGCCTGAAGATGGAATGAATACAGCATCTCTGGTAAGCACTTAGAATGGAACCTGGCACACATGGCACACATGGCTCCCACTGTGCCGTGAAGTCTAAGTACTTCGGGGTAGCAGCAGAGAAGCACCAAGCACCATCTGTTGAGGGAGCCAGGCCCTGGGGTGCTGGGGACGGGTGGCACCTGACACCTACACTGCCCCTACCTCACACCCCCGGGTGGGCATCTGGGACGACAGCGCAGTCAGCTCGTTCAGCAGATGCCTGCAAATGCAGATGGCGAACAGAGCTTGAAAAACAGCTGCCAGGGCAATGACTAAAGCAGACGATGTCCCTGTCTTCATGGCTTGTGCATTCTAGCCAGGGCAGAACAAGAAACAAGAGAGCAACAGAGACCTGTAACATACTGTCAGGTAGTGATAACTGCTACAAAGAGTGACTTAGCTTTTTTTTTGGTGCCAGGGATCGAACTCAGGACCTTGTGCTTGGGAGGCAGGTGTGGAGCCACTGAGTTAAATCCCCGGCCCTTTTTTTTGTTTTTGAGACAGGATCTGGCTATGTAGTTCAGGCTGTCTTGCCTCGAACTCACGGTGATCCTCCAGCCTCAGCCTCCCAAGTGCTGAGATGACAGGTATGTACCACCACACCCAACAGTAACTTAGTTTTTAAAGAGGTTGCTGGTTTAACCAAGCCAAAGTACATACATTTGATGGGAATATTAGTGAGCAATAAGAAGAAATACTGAGAGCACAATGTATGCCTATAATCCTAGCACTCAAGAAGTTGAGGTAAAAGAAAAAGAAGTTAAAATAAGAGGATTGCAAGTTCATGGCCAGCCTGAACTGCACAGTGAGACCCCAACTCAGTAAAAGACTGAAGGGACGCTGCTTTGCTATGGAGGAATCTCCAGGAGACACTGTGAAATGAGAAGGGCAGGATAGGGAACAGTAAGCACAGAAAGTTACATTCAGCAGGAAAAATAGCAGGCTGGGGGCTAGGGGTATGGCAGGGCACATCTTAGTATGCATAAGGCCCTAGGTTCCATTTCTGGCACCAGAAACCAAAGCAAAGCAAAACAAAACACAAGGGGAGGGGATAGGAGAAGCACGTACACTGCCTGTTTGCTTACACAATGCAGAATCTATGGAAGACTTTTTTTTTTGGTACCGGGGATCAAACTCAGGATCTTCCACTTTCGAGGCAGGCGGACGAACCACTGACCTAAATCCCCTGCCTGACTTTTTTTTTTTGAGACAAGGTCATTCTACATAGTTCAGGCTCCTCTCAAACTCACAGGGATCCTCTTGCCTCAACCTCCTGAGTGCTGGGATTACGGACGTATGCCACCATGCCCTGCCTCTGGAAGATTCTGGAAGAGCAGTGGCCAAGGGGTAGCCTAGGTAAACTGGGGATGGGCCTGGAAAACTTTTTATTGGATTATTATTAGCTTTGGGAGTTATGTGAACATATTAACAGTTCAGAAAAAAGCGAGATAAAAAAGTAGCATACCCAATGGGGGAAATTTTCAAGTTTTATTCAATAAAAAACCCAAGGTCTAAAGTTGATGTGCCCCTAGCAGTGACTTCAAACAAACAATAAAAAGGCCTTGCATCTTTCCATATGTGCAGTGCTATGGTCAATTAAGAAACTGGGAGGAGACCCAAAAAATTAGCCACGCTGTTGGAGCCTGAGGAGGGTGGCAGGGGGACAGGACAGGAGAGGAGACTTCACTGGGTACCTTTGACTTCTGTTTGGAATTTTATTTGCTCCTGCAAACACTGCCCCTCAAGAAAGTAGCATAATTAGGTAAATAAATGGGGAAGGGGGTGCCTCAGCTGATTTGCAGTGATATTCTTAGATGTTGATGATATGTGAAAAACAAGATGTAGAAGAGCACATGGAAGGTTCTGTTTTAAAAACAATTTGTGGGGCTGAGGATTTGGCTTGGTGGTTCTGCTGCCTGCCTCGAAAGCACAAGGTCCTGAGTTTGATCCCTGGTATCAAAAAAAAAAAAAGAAAGAAGAAAAGAAACATTGTGATATTTTTTAAAAATTTGTGGTATTATGATGCCAGTTACACTTCTGTAAAGTTCTGACGCCACAACACATGCACACAGCTAATTCCATGAGGGATCCCACAAATGCGTGTCTGTCAGTGTGAGCTGAATGTGGCACACAGGGAGGCAGGCTGGGTGGGGCGGAGGGGTGGGAAGCTGACGGAGGCAAAAGAAGCTAGGGAAAAAGGAAAAGTCAACTTCAAAAAAAAAAAAAAGTGAACCATGTTATCTCCAGCCTGGAGAGGAGATGAGAAAGAGTGGGATAAAGTGACTTATCCAAGGTCATACATTTTATTTTATTTATTTATTTTTTCTTTTTTGGTACCAGGGATTGAACTCGGGTCCTTGCACTTACACAGCAGGCGGCAAAACCACTGAGCTAAATCCTGGGGCGTCATACATTTTAGAAGTGGCAGAGCCTGTGTCTGAGTCCCGGTCTATTGTCTTCACGTGCTCAGGATTTCCTGTTCTTGCCCTCATTTGGCTCAAGGGGAAACTGAGGCTCAAAGTGAAAGACTGGGTCACTGTCACACAAGTCAGCGGCAAGAACATTCTCAGATTAAGCCTCACAGTGGTGAGAGGACAGCACGTCCTGAATGCTAATAAAAGGCTGCAAGGTATGGCCAGGCACAGCAGCACAACTGTAATCCGAGCTGATCAGGAGGCTGAGGCAAGAAGATTACAAGTTTGAGGCTAGGCTGGGCAACTTAGCAACTTTTGAGAGCCTGTCTCAAAACAAAAATTAAAAAGGGCTGGGGGTTTAGCTCAGGGGTAGCTTGCTCCTATATTCAATCCTTAGCGCTGAGGGGAAGGGGACAAAGGTTACAGATTATGTTTCACTGAGTATTTATCACATGTTCAGTACTGAGGCAAGGGCTTTTTACAAGTACTGTAATTTGTTCTTTTTTTGGTGGCACTCAGGATCGAGCCCAGGGCCTTCACACTGAGCTATATCCCCAGCCCTTTTTATTCTTTGTTTTGAGACAGGGTCTTACCTTGCTAAGTCACTAAGGTGCTCAGGCTAAGTTTGAACTTGAGATCTGCCTGCCTCAGCCTCCTGGAAGATTGAGATTACAGGCCACCAAACTGTGCCACCATGCCCAGCCACATTGTTTATTCCTACAATTTTTCAATGAAGGGTATTATTATGTCTACTTTTCAGATAAGGAAATTAAAGCCCAGAAAGGAAAAGTCATTTGCTATTCCGTCTGGCTATCCACAAAGACCTTAGCTTGCGCCTTCATTGTACTCAGATCTACACTGCTTCTTCAGACAGGGTCTCTGTGATTAACCCACATGACAGCGCCCCCTTCCCAACACTTTCTACTGTGACTTGGCTTTGCTTTTCTTCACAGAACCCCCCACACCTATTACACATATTTATGTGCCTTCTGTCGATTTCCCTACTGACAGCATAAGCTCCCTGAATACAGGAACCACCTCTGTTTTAGTCACTGCTGTGTCCAGAGGCTAAAACAGTCACTAGATGGGTGGATGCTCTAATTATATAGTAACTGTGAAACTGATTAAGAGAGTTCTGCATGTCACATGAACTTTACATGTAGTAAGTCACTGAACCTGTACTTGCCATGATTACTGCTACTGTTCAGACCAGAAAGTTACTCACCAAAGGGTACCTGGTTGCTATGAGACACAGCTGGGGCACAAGCCCAACAGGCTGGCTCCCAGGCACATACTTGGACAGCTGGAGGAGTACCAAGAGACAGCCACACCTCATGAGTTTAAAATGTTTCTCCCAGGGCTGGGGATTTAGCTCAGTGGATTTGCCACCTGCTGTGCAAGTGCAAGGACCCGAGTTCGATCCCCAGTACCAAAAAAGTAAAAATAAAATAAAATAAAATAAAATGCTTCTCCTACTCCACACCCAAGCTCTTTTTTTTTGAGACAGGATCTCACTATGTAGCTCAGGCTGGCCTCAAACTAGGTGATCCTCCCGCCTCAGCCTCCTGAGTGTGGGGATTACAGGCCTGCACTGACATGCCCAGCCTACACCCAAACTTCTAAGAAACCTTTCTTCAGGCTCCTCAGACAGGAGCTGGGGCTGCTCCTCCAGGCCTGGACCTGACACCTCCCAAGTCCCAGGTGCTCACCTGTCAAAGGCCTTCACACGGCCCAGGAGTTTCTTGTTGTTGCGGCAGTTGATGAGCACCTGAGTGTTGTTCTTGACTGACTGGGTCAGCACAGAGAGTGGACCTGTGTTAAATTCCTCCTCCTCCCGCTTTTGCAGCTCCTCTGGGGTCATCTCACTCTTGGGCTTATTGAGGAGGCTCCTGAATAGGCAAGGATGGAACCATAGGTGACAGTGGCTTAGGCTGGGAGCGTGGCTGGTCATGGCTTTTCACTCTGTGTCTCCTCAACCTTGCCCCCAACACGCACCCTGATACCCGAGTCTCCTGTCTGGGCACAAGCACCTGATACCTGATAGACATTTCCAGCTCTGACCCAGGTTGGGCTCCACATCACCTGACCACTCCAACCCACTCTATCCACAGTGCTCCCAATCCCCCTGACAGCAACTCCATCATCCTAGTCCTCTATAAACACTCTTGATGTCCACGTGACATCTCTCATCCTCTCATACCCTATGTCAAATCTACTGATGAATCCTGCCACCTACCTCTTAAGGTCAACACTGAATCGAACCACTGAATTTGATTTGTTTCTCATGCAATTTGGTTTTCGACCAGAATCATGGAAAGAATTAAGTTCGTGAACTGGGCTACCACTGTACATCCAGACTCTGGCCATTTCTTTTCCATGCCCTAAATCTCCATCACCTTTCTCCTGAAGTCTTACTGGTCTCCTCCTGACAGTCTGTTCTTCACAGACCAGTAGGAAAGGTTGTGCTAAAACCTAAACCATGTCACATCACCCTTCAAAGCTTTCCCATAGCTCCCATCTTGTGCAAAAGGAAAACCAGTTTTCACAATGCCCCCTACATTTGCCCCCTCTCTCACAGTTTCAGCCACAGTGGCCTCCTGCAGATAGGAGGCAAACTTTCATCTGAAGGGCTCTGCTTTCACCCTTGCCTGGAACCTCCAGATATCTGTATTCGTCACTCCTTCACTTTCTTCAGGTCCTTGCTCAAGTGTTAGCTTCTCAACGTGTCCTTCTGTGACAGTTACTACACTGTTGTCATTTCCCATTGTTGTTCCTGTACTAGACTATTTCAGGGTAGCCTTGAACTCGTGACAACCCTCCTGCTTCAGCCTCCCAAGTGCTGGGATTAAAGGCGTGCTCAACTATTTATTCACAGCCCTGTACACCTAACACACTACATACCCCCTTATTGTTCTATGGTCTGAGTGCACTTCTCCCTTCAAAACCCACAGCAGGAGATTATTTCTTGGGGATGAGGTCTTTGTATTCACTGATGTATCCCATGTGTCTAACGCAGGGCCTGACACGTGAACACTCAATGTAGTATCTTCCGAACAAATAAACAGCAAAATCATTCCAGTGGCTCATTATCGTCAAAGTCGCAAATGAGGTCGAAAAGCCACCCGCCCGCAGCTTAAATTATCTGGATCAATCCTTACCTCAAATCGTTATTTCTTATAGTCCTCACTTTCCTCCCCCTGGCTCTTTATTCTTAAAAATCGCTTCCCCCTAAAATTCGTTTCGACAAGAGCATCTTCGAGAGCCCCCAGCCCGTTAGATGATTAAGATTTCCCCTCTCCAGAACTCACGATCCGTTGAAGGCCCCATACCCTGATCGAAGCCCTCAGGACAAAAGTATGCCATTTTATCCTTAATCTCTGCCTCTGCCCCTGCCCTGCTCATCCTCTCCTACCGTTAGTCAGCCAAGTTTACAACCTCCCTCCCGCCACTTAAACCCAGCCCGGCCTCACATGGTGGCGACTGCACCCACAAGTTACTCCCGTTTCTTCTGCGATGCTTCACTCTCCGAGGGAAGAGGAGAGACGGAACTTTCCGCTTCCGGCGGCTCACTTCCGTTGGCGCCTGCGCAAACACAAACCGCGGGTAGGGGCGTAGCCTGTTGTCATAGCGATCCCCGCCAGCTGCGCAGAGACGGAGTAAAAGCCTGAAGAAGTGGTTCGAAGCCACTCAGGACAACACAAAGCAGACACCCACGACAATGGAGAGGAAAAATAAAGGCAGCCCAACTCAAATCGTTTTGTTGTAGAAAAGTATAGGTTGAAGAAGGGAAGCGACACGCCTGCCCAGTCCTTGGGGGCGCGGCTTCGGCGAAGTCAATCCGCTGCTAGCTTCAGGGTCGCACACCACCCGCCTTTTCCTTCAGGGACGGCTCCCTGAGGTGTCTATTGATCTTTCGGACCTGGAACGACCAAGCCTACATCTGGAAGGGGCCCGGACCTGTGCACTAGAGTCTCCACGATCAAACGCTGCTGATTGGCTCTCTCCCCTCCGAGGCGGTCCTTACTCTTTTCGTGCTCCCTCCTGCGTTGTGAGTCCTTAAGTGGAACCAACGCCAACACCCGAGGGAGGGAGGGAGGCGTGTCCTCAGGATGCCATTGGTTTCACGACTCGTTGGGTGGGAAGTGCAACCGCTCTCATTGCTCATTGGTTTTGTGATTCAGTGGGTGGAACTTGGCCGGACCTAAATTCCATCCGTGGCCAGGGACCGGTTTCAGGCACAGCTGCCATGCGTTCCGGGGGCCGCGGGCGGCCCCGGCTGCGGCTCGGCGAACGCGGCCTTCTAGAGCCACCTTCACTGCCCAAGCGCCGCCTGCTAGCGCGGCTGCAGCTGTTTCCTCTGCTGCTGGCTGTGGCCGTGGGATTGGCGCTCTACATCATCTGGAGCGGCTGGCACCGCGGGATTGAGGAGCTGTCAAGGGGCCGGGAGTTGCGGGTGAGGCCAGGCGGGGCTCAGGGCACCTGGGGACCTCCATTTCCCACTCCCCTTTCCAGAGTCTCAGGTTGACGTGGCTGTATCGTATCGCCCTAACCGCAGGTGCTTCCTTCTTTCTCTGTCATTTGAACGCATGCCCCGTACCCACGAAGGCTTCGCGCTCTTTCTGTAATATTAGCTCCCCCTTAAGAAGAAGGGTCTGCTCTGCTCTAGTAAGCTACCGGGATCCGATTTGTCTGTCAGGATTGCGGTAGTTTTGATCAGATGGTCTTGGAGGGGCCTTTCCTGAGTTTATGATTTATCCTAGATGCTCAAGGCTGCTCATTACCAAGAGGATCCGGAGCTCAGGGCGGCAACAGCGCCTGGGGTAGGGTCAGAAAGGGGGGGGGGTGCTCTCATTCTTCTCTTCCCCATCTTAACCTCCCTCCAAGGCTCCTCTAGTTGGAAACCTCCCTGAAGCCCAGCTGCGGAAAGTGGTGGGACAACTGGATCCTCAGCGGCTCTGGAATACTTATTTGCGTCCTCTGTTGATTGTTCGAACCCCCGGTAGCCCCGGTAATCTCCAAGTCAGAAAGGTAAAGGCATCATATGGTATCTCTAGGTTCTGACCAACGCCCCTCCCTCTGCCAGGCCTCTAGAAAAGAAGTAGACATCCTGTCCAAGATCCTAAAGCAGGTAAAAGGTAGAACTGGGGCTCTGATGGGAGTTAATTTGACTTTAGAGTCCCACATAACCAGCAGGCTGCATTTCCCCCACCAAAAGCTAAGCACATCCACTAGGGACAAGCAACAGACAGCACTGCGCGGTGAGAACCAGTATGATCTTCACGTAGATGGTGAAACCAAGGCTCAGAGAGGCTATACATTTTGCCTAGGTCCCACAGCTAGTAAGTGGTGTCACATCACTATATTGCCTTCCAAAACACTACCACCACTCCTTTTTTAAAAATTTCAGACGGTCTTTCTAAGTGACTCAATTGCTGGGACTGGGCTTGAACTTGCAATCCTCCTGCCTCAGCCTCCCAAGTGCTAGGATTACAGATGTGCAACATTATGTCAGGCCGTTTCTGAACTTCTCTGGGACCCAGTTTCCTCCTCTGCAAAATGGGGTCATGCACTGGCATTCTTTACTCCATAGGACTGATAGAACAGGGCTTGGCAGGTAACAAGACCTACTGAAGATTAATTAAGCCATGATTAGTGTTGGCATAGGAGGTGGCTCACCCCAACATCTGGCACTCAGTAGGTACTGGGCAGAAATGAGTCAATGAAATAACGCCCTAAGTGGGGACTTTTGAGTCAACCTGACTGCTCTGTGTGGTTCAGGTCACACAGCCCTTCTCCCCACCTCCTCCCCAGTCCCTGTCCACCCTCCCACCTCTCTCTTGCCACTAGTTCCTGGAAGCCACACTGCGGGCCCTGACAGCTGGCTGGCATGTGGAGCTGGATCCCTTCACAGCCTCAACTCCTCTGGGGCCACTGGACTTTGGGAACATTGTGGCTACGCTGGATCCAGGGGCTGCCCATCACCTTACCCTTGCCTGCCATTATGACTCGAAGTTCTTCCCCCTGGGCTCAGCCCCGTTTGTGGGAGCCACGGATTCAGCTGTGCCCTGTGCGCTGCTACTGGAGCTGGCCCAGGCTCTTGATCTGCTGCTGAGCAGGGCCAAGCAGCAGGTGAGGAACAGTAGTGGGAGAGAGGTGGGTCACCTCCACCCCATCCATGGCCCTTCTCTCTCTTGCCTTTGTAGTCCTTGTCTTCTGAATGTCCGATCCTGTTACCTCTGCCCAGACCTTCCCATGGCTCCCCACCCCATTCCACATACGCCAGGGTCCTTATAATGTCCCCTGAGGTGTGTCCTATTAACCCTCTAGCTTCACCTCTTGCCCTTCACCCCTCACTCACTTTCTGTAATCACACCCACTCTCCATCTCTCAAGCCCACCTCAGGGCATTTGCGCTTGCTCTTGGCTCTGCATAAAATGGATTTTTAAAAAGGCAACTTGATGCTTGTAATCCTAGCATTTGGGAGGCTGAGCCAGGATGATCAATGCGAGTTTGAGGCCAGCCTGAACCACATAGTGAGACCCTGTCTCACAGAAAAAAAAAGTTGCTTTTTTTTTTCCATCCTTCTTGACTGGCTCTCACTATTCAGGTGTCCACTCCAAAGTTGTTTCTTCAAGGACTCCTTCCCAGCTACCCCAAAATAAGTCCCTTGGTCCCTATCTCATCCTTGATAGTTTTCTGTTGGTTTGTTTGCCTGTCTCCTCAGCTAGAGTAAGTTGCTTGAAAGCAGGGACTCAAGTTTCTTTTGTTTTTTGCTGTATCCCCTTGGTCAGAATATTGCCTGGCATAAAATGGGTATCAATAAAAATTTATGGAATGAATGAATGAATGAATGAATGGAAGTATAGATCACATCATGCTTCTCCCCTTCTCTAATCCCTTCCATGGATCCCCAGTGTCCTTATAACAAAGCCCAAACCCCTTGGCCCTTGCTGACCCCTCTGATCGCTGAAACGTCTCCACCTGCTCCCTGGCCCCAGCCTTGATCCATGTTGCTCCTGTGGTTGAGAGTACTCTTCTCTCTGCTCCAGTGTGCAACCCCAGTGCCCTTCCTACCAGGTCCCACTAAGCCTCTTCCTTTCAGAGCCCTCTAGTTCTTGGAAGCATTTGTCCCAACTGCATTTCACTGTTTGTATCATTCATTTGTGGGTCTTTTTTTTTGCCAAATTGAGCTTGAGGAATAATTATCAGATCTAACCCATCTTTAGTTCTTTATAACAGGGCACATGGGTGGGTGGATGCCAAGGGCTGGCACTGATCTGGCCCTGGCCACCTGCACCCACAGGCAGCCCCAGTGACGCTGCAGCTGCTGTTCTTGGACGGTGAAGAGGCGCTGAAGGAGTGGGGACCCAAGGATTCCCTTTATGGCTCCCGGCACCTAGCCCAGCTCATGGCATCCATGCCCCACAGTCCTGGCCCCACCAGGATTCAGGCCATTGTAAGACCAGGGTCCCTCTGGTTCTGGAGAGGGAGGGAGAGGGAGCAGTGGGGTTAGCAGGGTCCTCCTCTGCCCACTCCAGTCCTGGCTTCTTCCTAGGAGCTCTTTGTGCTGCTTGATCTCCTGGGAGCCCCCAGTCCGACCTTCTACAGCCACTTTCCCCACACGAACCGCTGGTTCCATCGGCTGCGGAGCATCGGTAAGCCTGAGGGCAGAGTCGGGTACCTGCCTGGCTTGTGGGAGGGAGGCCCAGTCACATGTCCTCTAACATTCCCACCACCTCCCTGGTCTCTCTAAGGAATCAGGGCAGAAGCATACACTCATCACAGGAAGGTCAAGTGTAGTGATTATAAATGAGCCGCCCTGGTGTGAGACAGCTCTGGTTTCAAATCCTGGGTCTGCCTCTTACTCCATGGGAACTTGGGTTAAGAAGCTTCATCAGTCTGGGCCTCAGTTTCCTATCTGTAAAATGGGCGGGGTGCTAATGATAATCTACCACAGGAAGGAGAAACACATTCATTCATGTTGGGATGACCAGTGCTTTATCTCCGGGTCCTTTGCCCTCTGATCCATGGACAGGGGACCTTTGACTGCTGAGCACAACCTAAGCCTTGCTCTCTAATCCCCACCCCCTCCAGAGAAGCGTCTGCACCGTTTGAACCTGCTGCAGGCTCACCCCCAGGAAGTGATGTACTTCCAGCCCGGGGAGCCGCCGGGCTCTGTGGAAGATGACCATATCCCCTTCCTCCGCAGAGGTACTGCCCTGTGCAGGGAGGAATGGGGGCAGTGTCCGAGGAAGTCACAACTTGGGTTGGCTCTGGCTCCTTCCTAGTGCTGGGGACTGGTGGCAAGTGGTTCCCCTCTTCATATCTCCATTTCTCCATCTATAAAATGATATCACACAGTATTGAAGGTACCAAGTGTACTAATGTGTGTAAAGAGTTTGTTTGGACCAGTGTCCAGCACACAGCAGGCATTCAAGAAATGTTAACTATTAGGATTTATGCCACAATGATGACAACATGTATTCTTTGTTTTGTTTTGTATTTGAGACAGGTAGTTTAGGCTGGACTTGAACTCACTATGTAGCCCAGACTGGCCTTAAACTTGCGGTGATCCTCCTGCCTCAGCCTCCCAAGTCCTGGGATTATAGGAATGTGCCATCATGTCCAGCACAGCATGTATTCTTGATTTTCTTTCAAGGCCCTGGTGGCTCTGTAGATTCACCAAACGAACTTCAAAAAATGCCCAGTCAGGGCTGGGGATTTAGCTCAGTGGTTCTGCCACCTGGCTCACAAGTGCAAGGTCCCAAGTTTGATCTCCAGTACCCCCCCTAAAAAAATGCCCAGTCATATTTCAGGCCTACCGGACCACAATCGTGGGTATCTGGATGATTTTTACAAAGTTCCCACACAATTATAGGAATTAAGAATGTGGGTTTTAGGTGGGCATGGTGGTGTATGCCTGTAATCCTAACACTCAGGAGACTAAGCTAGAATGATTGCCAAAAGTTTGAGGCCAGCCTGACTACAGAGACCTTGTCAAAAAAAAAAAAAAAAAAAAAAAAAGCCTGGTGTGGTATCGAAGGTTTGTAATCCCAGCACTTGGGAAGCTGAGGCAGAAGAATCACCTCAAGTTCAAGGTCAGCCTGAACTGCATAGCAAGACCCTGTCTAAAAAAAAAATGCAGGGTCTCATGCATGCTAGGTAAGTGCTCTAGCCTTAAGCTACCACTCACTGTAGGTTGTAGAATGAGGCAGTCTGAGTTCTGGGATCTACACTTACCACTGGTTGACTTAAAGCAGACTGGCCTCTGTAAGCCCCTGTTCTTTCAGGAAAATGAAAATATACACGTGTGTATTAATGAGAGAATTAGGATGTCAGGTCTATAAAATGCCTGCTTACAGTCCTTGGTGTATAGCAGGTGCTAAAAACTGCTTTGACAAATTTATAACTGTCTTCCAACAAGAACGCCTTCGTTAGCGGGTGTGGTGGTGCATGCCTATAATCCCAGCATTTGGGAGGCCCAGGCAGGAGGATTGCCGTGAATTCAAGGCCAGCTTGGGCTACATAGCAAGTTTAAAGCCAGTCTGGACTACTTTCATTAGAATGTCATATTTATTATGGTTTTTTCAGTGCTTGGGACAGAACGCAGGGCCTTGTATCTGCTAGGCAGGTGCAGTACCACTGAGCTACACTCCAAGACCCAACAATGGCTCCTTTGATTCATTCAGGGAACATGAGGGAAAATGCTGGGTGTGATGACGCATCCTTGTAGTCCCAGCTACTTGGGCCTGAGACAGGAGATGTGACCCCAGGAATTTGGAGCCAGCTTGGGCAACATAGTGAGACTCCATCTCAAAAAAAGTAAAGTGAGGGCCAAGGATTTAGGTCAGTGGTTCCGCTGCCTGCCTCGAAACCGCAAGGACCCGAGTTTGATCGCCGGTACCAAAAAAAAAAAAAAGTAAAATGAGGGTAATGGTAGAAAGTACCTACCTTAAAGGGTTCACAGAAAGGATAAAATGGTGTGTTCGTGTGGCCTAGCGCCTAGCACACAGCAAGTACAATATAAACGCTGTTAGAGAGAGGCCTGATGTATGCCTGGCACAGAGGATCAAGGACATCTTCCTCCTGATCTCTTCACAGTCCATTAATTTTGAGTTCCTCTAATTTGTTATGAAAACAACATGTACCCCTCACACATGAACAAAAATCATGTTCAGAGCTCAGAAAGTGCTGGAACAGAGTGTTTTGGGGTGGCTGGGGGAGGTCAGGTTACCAGCCTGGGCCTGGCTAGGGTGTGTGGTGGGCGTGCAGGCCTGACAGGGTCTCCTCTCACCCGCAGGGGTCCCGGTGCTTCACCTCATTGCCACGCCCTTCCCCTCTGTGTGGCACACACCTGGCGACACAGAGGCCAATCTCCACCCGCCCACTGTGCACAACCTCAGCCGCATCCTGGCCGTGTTCCTCGCTGAATACCTGGGGCTGTAGCCCCAGGGACCTTACTGAGGGAGCAGCACCTGGAGGGTTCGTGCCCAGGGTGCCTGGTGCCATCGGAGCAAGACTGGGCCCACTGCAGGAATGCTGGCTTCTCCTGTTCCACACCCCAGGCTCCTAGAAAGGACCCACTTTCCTTTGACTAAGGCTGCCACCCTTCGGGGACATGGACAGGACCACTCGGCAGTGAGAGCCAAAGGAGTATGCTTGGCCCTTGCCTGAGGTAAACGCTTGGTCTGAAGGCCAGCAGGGACCAAATGCTGTGCTTTCAATCAGCAAACTTCGGACAGTGTCTGGACCAGCACCACTCAACTAACTGAATCCTCTTCGGCTGAAGTGTTCACATCAGTTCATGCTCCCCTGGATTCAGAAAGGGAACCAAGGAGGTGGAGGCCAAGGCTTTGGTGCTCCTGATTTATACCTGAGCCAAGGGGCAATAAACCAGTGTTTTTAGGGGGTTAGAGATCAAAGTACCAAGGTAAAAACATCATTCAGTGAGTCTTCTCACTGCATAATGGTAATTTCACATAAGACAGAACACAGTGCTTCCCAAAGTATTTCACCATGGTACCTCAGAAGACACTTTGGGAAACCCTGGATTTGGAAAGTTTGAGAGGGTTTCGGGTGGAATGGGTCAGACCTAGATTGACTGCAAAGCAGTTACCCTAAACCACCCTTTCCTGTGGGTACAGCAATGAGATGGCGTTGTACCTGAGGCCAGGGAGGAATTTCTGCCAACCCAATCTCATCTTCTGGCTCAGCTGGGGAGTTTATTAAGAAATGCAGACTAGGGCTGGGGATTTAGCTCAGTGGTTCCGGCGCCTGCCTCGAAAGCGCAAGGTCCCGAGTTCGATGCCCGGTACCAAACAACAAAAACAACAAAAAAACAGAAATGCAGACTTGCAGGTCCCACCCCAGACTTACTGAACCAGGACTGCAGGGAGGGCTGGGGTTCTGTAACAAATACCTGAGGACATCTTTTGACTTTTTTGGATATAGGGTCCCACTGTGTAGCCCAGAATGGCTTTGAACTCTCAATCTTCCTGCCTCGGCCTCCTAAATGCGGGGGCATGCTGTCCTCAAGGACATAGTGTGGTGCATACTCAGCTATTTAGCAAATCTAGTGAAAATAAAACCCTCAATGAGGGAGAAGCTGTTCGGTGCAGCTGTGTAGAAGGCTTCCCTAGCAAGCCTGTGTGAGGCCCTGGGTTCTACCCACAGCTAAGATGGAGGGTTAAAACCAGTGGAAGTGAGCTGGGTGTGGTGGCGCACACCTGTAACTCCTGCCCTCGGGAGACTGAGTTAGGGAGATGGATGGGAGTTTGAGGCCAGCCTGGGCTACATAATGAGTTCAAGGCCAGCCTGAGCTACGAAAAACCAAAAATATGCCACCTGCCTCACAAGCTCAAGGTCTCAAGTTCAATCCCCGGTACCAAAAAAGAAAAAAAAAAACCCAAAAATAAAGTGAAGGTGACCATCGGTCTCCTGAGTCAACTGAAGGCTCCAAAAGATACAATAAACCTGAGGGCTGAAAGCCAGGTTATCAAATGAGAAAGGATAAAGTCAGAGTCCTCGGTTCGAGTGTTTCCATAGTGGCTGACATTCATGTGTCGGGCACCGAGAGCACTTGGAGCAAATTCATTTCATTTCCCCCTAAACCCTGACTGAGCGGTACAGTTTCGGTTCTCGCTGTGCAGGTGAGGAGGCAGAAACAGATTGTGAAGCAGCTGTCTGAAAAGCTCAGAGCCTCACCCACAGCTGCGCTCCCAGCCCCAACGTCGCCCCTCCCATCTGGAAATCACCAGTGCTGGATGAAGACTTGGTCAACAAAAAATAGCATGTGGCTTTTAACTTATTTTTTTCCCAGTACTGGGATTGCACCCAAGGCCTTTGCACTGACCTACCTCCCAACTAAGCCTTTCTTACTTTTTAAAACCTTGATACAGGTTATGTCCCTAAGTTGGTGAGACTAGACTTGAATGTGTAATTTTCCTGCCTCAGACTTCCAGAGTGCTAGGATTAACTGATTTTTAAATAGCTTTCTGCACATATTTGGCTTGAATTTCAAGTAAGGCTTATTAGATCCATATTACAGATGAGGCTGCTGATGTCTGCCAAGGTGATGTTTGCAGCTACCCTTCATACTTGACATATGGGCTCCCACAGGTGTATTTGTTAGCACAGCTGCTGAGCAGTCTAGGTGAATGCTTCACACATCAGTCTACCTTAACCCAAAAATCTCAAGGGCGCCAAATCTCAAACCTTTTTGAGCAGTGGAAAATTCCATACCTGATGACCATGGGGCTGAGATGGGGCAGCTGCTCTGAGTTCAAGACCAGCCTGAACCACATACCAAGACCCTGCCTCGAAAGCAAAAAACAAAAAGCAGGTGCACTAAAAATACTGTAGAAAATTACCTTCAGGCTTTGTGTAGAAGGTGAATATGAAATGTAAATAAATTTTGTAGTTTTAACTTAGATCCCATTTCCAAGATATCATCTTCATGTGTACACAAAAATAAAATTGGAAAAAAATCCTAAATCTGAAACACTTCTGCTCTTAAGCATTTCAGATGAAGGCTACTCAATCTGTATTCTTATTTTTCAGATTAAGAAACAGTTTCTGCTGGGCATGCTGGCACATGCTTGCAATCCCAGTACTCAAGAGGCAGAGGCAGGAGGATCTCTAGTTCAGGCCAGCCTACTATGTATATAGTAAAACCCTGCCTCAAAAAGAGGGGAGGGGGGAAGAAAGGAGGAAAAGTGAAAAAGAGAAAAGAATAGGAAAAAGAAAGTGAGCTTCAGAGGAACCAACCGCCCAAGATCACAGAGCTGGGTACCTCTGCTGCCATGTGTCTGGGTGTACATTTTTTATCGTTTAGTCTTCACACCATTCTGTCTCCTGGTTCTGCAATGTATGGTAGCTTTTGCTCTATGCTTCATAACCTTCAAGTGTTTCTGTGCTTCCTATAACCAACCAGCTTTATTTCAGTAAGCCTTTCTTCAGTTGTGTCTAATTTGCCCTTTAACCCAATTACTGAGTTTTTGAATTTTGGTCACTGTATTTGTTATTTCTGAAAGTATGACATTTGGGCTTTTTCCTTTCCAATCTGCTAGGCAAGTTTTCATAGTGTGGAGTTCTCTGGTGATTATCTCCGAGCTTCTCTTAAATTTTATATTTTTATAGCTGGGTGTGGTGGTACACAGCTGTAATCCCAGCAGTTGGGAGGTGGAGCTAGGAGGATACCAGCAAGTTTGAGGCCACCCTGGACTACATAGTGAGTTCAAGGCCAGCCTGCACTACAAAGCAAGACCCTGTTTTAAAAAAAAACTTTTTATTTTTATTTTTTAGAAGGATCTTGCTATATAGTATAGGAAGGCCCTGAATTTTCTATGTGGCCAGGCTGGCTTCAAACTTATGATCCTGTCTTAGCCTTCAGAGTGCTGGGATTACAGCAGTGCACCACCACGCCCAGCTTCTTAAAAATTTAAAGTTTTAGTTGGGTGTGTTGGCGCACACCTGTGATCCCCGTGCTCTGGGAGGCTTACGCAGGAGGCTTCAAGTTTGAGCAAGCTTGGGCAATTTTGTGAAACCTTGTCTCAAAATAAAAGAGGGGCTAGGGATGCAGCTCTGTGCAAAGCACTGGGTTCAGTCCTTGCTACTGCAAAATGGAACAGTTTAAGATAATGTTATGTGTTATAATCTGTGACTGAGTCCCACCATCTGAGGCCTTGTGGTTCCATCTTGGGGAGTATTCCCACTGGCTCTTGCTCATATGGCTTTGCTTTCATGCATGTCTATTTGCTACTCATTGTCTGAAAAACAATGAAAACGTGGGATTCTATTTTTTGTTTTGTTCTGAGATAGGATCTCACTATGCAGTTCAGGCTGGCCTTGAGCTCACTATGTAGCCCAAGCTGGCCTTGGACTCACAGTGATCCTCCTGCCTCAGCCTCCCAGCGCAAGGATTACAGGCCCGTGCCACCATGCCCGGCTTACTTGTGAGATTCTAGGTGGCGGTTCCTACTGCTGCTTCTGCCAGACCTCTCAGCAAATAGTTCCCTGGATCACACAGGGGTTGTGACCCTGGCTACAGACTAATTCTCAGGGTTGATTTTTCCTTTGGCCTCGTACCCGCCTCTGCAGCCATCATCTTCACAGGAGTTCACAGTTTCCTGGGATCCCCATACCTCTTACCTCCTACGAGGTTTCCCACATTGGCTGGGCTGTGGCTCTGACTTCTACCTATTTCTCCCCATCAGCCAAGTAGGAGATTCAAGTTTGTCCACATCAGCAGATGCCCTCGGACCAAAAGTGGCTTCAGGGCCCTTAAAATTTTGGCCTGGCGGGTCCTTAACATATTTTAGGAGCTATCTTCTGCTTTTAAGGAAATTTCTTTTTTTTTTTTGGTACCACGGATCGAACTCAGGTCCTTGCACTTTTGAAGCAGGCGGCAGAACCCTTTACGAGAAACTAAAGTCCCACAAAATCAAGCCAAGATTCATCCAGGTCTTTGATCCCAAAATCTTAATAACTACTCTGACATCCTACTCTCTCTGGAAAATGATTCCCTAATAAGAACATCAGAGATTGTTAGGACCTTCTCAATAGCCACTCTTCTTTCTTTTATACTTAAAAGATGTCTTAAGTCCCCCCTTTTTTAATTTAGTAAAACAACTAAGAAACTATTTTAAAATTTTAATTACAGGGATCTATAGTAACAGGTCAGGCACATTGCACTCAGCTAAAAGACTGCATTTCCCAGCCTCCCTTGTAGCCCTGTGCATGGCTACATACTGACCAGTAAGATGCATATGAAAGTACATACAGTGTGGTACTTGAGGGAGGAAGGGGGCTTCCCTGCCTGCAGAAAGGAGGTGGTAGTTCTCACAGCCATCTCAGACCACAAGAACGAAGGAAACAGCCAAAGAATGACAGAACTGTGAATTTAGAGGGGCATGGGTGGAGGCCCACCATACTTGCTTAACACTGGATTTCTAAAGAAATAAAAATGATCTTATTCAGGCTACTACTATTTTGAGATTGTCAAATCAAAGCCAGCACAGATGAGAAGAATCAAAAATAATCTCAGGCTGAGGGATTTGGCTACAGATCCCTTCTCTACTTTTTCCATCCTACCGTGCACAGGCCCATAGTTCTCTCTTCACCCCAACCTCCCTCCCTTAACAACACACAGACCAGTCTGGGCCCAACCTTATAAATATTGATTTTATAGAAAGGACCAATTCAAAAATTGGCCAGACGCCACATGCTAGAATCTTCCAGAACCACAATGACGGAAAAACAAAAACAAATGCCCCAAACAGAACAAACAAAAATACCCCAGACCACATTGCCTGAAAATCAAGTCCCAATTGACCAAAAGGTTCTAAAGACATCTGTGGTTTGGGGTGAAGAGACCCCAACGCCTCAACAAGTACCCAGAATGGAAGAAAAAACCACTTAGAATTTCAAACCCACAGTCCCTGCCCTCCACGCTGTCAAGAGCAAGGCAAAGGGCTTCACAGCTTTACTGGGGGAGGAGCATTGGCAAAGCTTAAATAACGGGGTGGGGGTGTCCTGTACTCCAGGGGTTTTTTTTTCTTCCTTGTAGAGGAAGGGGAGAGACTGGTAGCTTGTGGCTAAGAGAAAACAGTAACTTTTATTTCTCTAATGGGGAAAACATCTAAAAATGGTAGGCTGCCGGGAGAAAGTGCCAAACTGGATCTGCGATCTGACGGTCCCTAATTCCAAAAGAGGTGAGCCTTGGGGCAGGAGGTTTGGAGGTACCAACATGGGGTGCTGCAGCCTCTCCAGAGAAATGGGCTCCAGAGGCGGAGGGCTGGAGGGGGCAAAGAACAGGAGCCAGCATGGGGGAAGCATTAGGTGGTACCAAAATTAGCTGCCGTCTGCTCCCTGCTGGTGGGTCCCTGGGGTGTACAGAGTGGCAGGGAGGGTCCTGGGGCTGAATGGAGAAGAAATTGAGATGCTGATAAAAAAACACCCTACTTGAGGGTCCCTGGCCCTGGGTCTAAAAAGTAGAAAACCAACAGGGGTCAACCAGAGTGTCCTCTTGGGTCCCCCCGGAAGCTGGTCTCAGTTCTGGTGGGGGATCAGCACTGCCTGGACTGGGGGCTGGGGGCCAGTGGCCCAGTCCCAACCCTGGCTCCCAGGGAGGGGGAGGGGCGGGCACAGTGGGCTTCCCCTCCCCTCCCCTCCCCGGCTTCACCTCCCCTCCTCCCGGCCCGCTCTGCCCCCACCCAGCCCATTGCAGGGCAGCACCCAGTTGTTATCGTGCAGGCCCAGGCGGCAGCCTGGCGTCTCCCGATCGGCTCGGCGGCAGCACATCCAGTAGGAACGTCCGTAAGGCAGGTCATGGTGGTAGGGCTTGGGGTGCCAGCGGCACAGGGACACGTCACCCTTCTCGTATCTCTTTCGGCACTGCTTGCAAGGGTCATCACGGTAGAGCGGGTCTCGGCTCCAGCGCGAGTCTGTGGCACGCACCCCGAATGCCTCGATGATGCCCTTGAAGTGGTGGCAGGTGCACTTGAGGGCGGCCAGGGCCCTCGTGGGCAGAAAGCTGAAGATCTTGACCAGCACATGCTCGGGCAGCAGCAGCATATACTGTCGTGGCTCCAGCAGCCGCTGGATCTTGAAGCGGATTTCCAAGAAGTCGTGCGACACATGCCGGTAGAGGCGGCACAGGGAGGTGTCCGCTGTCCCCTCAGCATCGTCCGGGCCTGGCACCACAGTGGGTGCATCAGCTGGGGGAGGCTCAGGGGGCCCATCTGGCCCCCGGGACTGGAGGAAGAAGAGCTGGCCGGGTGGAGGTGGCTCCTCGGGGCTGACTGTCAGACACACTGTCTCCTCCTTCACATTCTTGGTGCCGTCCTTGCCAAAAAAGACGCACTCATCCACCACGCCAGTCACCACCACATCCACATGGAAGCCTGAGGCTCCGCAGTCCCGGGCGGGAGGGGGAGGGGGAGCCGGGGGAGTGTCCTCAGGCCTGGCAGGGGCGGGGCTCTCACCCTCGCTGGCTTCATCTGCCCTGGCCAGCAGGAACTCTACGTTGCTGGGAAGGGCATCCCGGGAGGGGCTGATAAGCTGGTACAGGTCACAGGTGATCTTGTCCTTGGCTCGGGCGCTGGGCCCTGGACTGCCAGGGTAGGCACAGCCGGGCCGGCCCCCGTTCCCGTTGGGTAAGCTGCCATCTGGTGCCCGGGGCTCCCGGCCATTGGAGATGCGGAAGGCAATGCGCACCTCCCCAGGGCCTGGCCCAGGCCGCTCCTCCTTGCGAAGGCCCTTGGTTGGAGGGTTGTCCCGCTGGGCCTCGAAGTGGGCCACGGCCTCGGCCACACGGCTGCAGTCACCACCACCACCACCACCACCACCACCACCACCACCACCACCGGAACGCCGCTCAGACCCCAGCCCCTTGGCAGGTCCACCCTGCTCAGCTGACACAAAGACCACAGGTGCCGGGGTGGTGGGGCGTGGATAGCTCTGCAGGGCCAGGGCGGCCCTCTGCTCCACCAGGGCCACCATCTCGGCCACAGAGAGGAGGTCTACGTCCTCCCCGGCTGAGGCAGGGCCCCCCTCAGCAGCAGGGGGACCCTCCCGGCCCCCCGGGTCTGGAGGAGCCCGGCTGGGCTCAAGACAGCGCCTCCTCCGCTTAGCCTTGGAGCTGTCACTGCCCCAGTGACCCTTGACCTTCATGGAGCTGGCCCGGCTACCTCCGCTGCACTGGTGCGCCACGAAAAAGGCCACCTTCTCCTTTGTATTCCCTGGCTTGATAACATACCAGGTGTCTAGCAGGACTCGGCCCTCGTCACCCGCAGCAGAGGCCGAGAGGAGCGGAGCGGGCTGGGAGCTGGGGGCATCGGCGGCGGGTGGGGTGTTCTCCGAGTGGGAGGGCCCATGGTCTGGCTCCGCCCCGCTGCCAGGCTCAGGGCAGGCCGACGGCTTGAGCACAGCGGAAGGCGGGCGCGTCTGGTTCTGGGAGTAGGTGCCGAAGGGCCGGGGGCACCAAAGCTGAAAGGGCAAGAGACTGCCACGGTCCATTCTGGGTGTGATGGCAAACAGGCAAGGAGTCACCGGATCTCAGGACCAGGATGGGGGGGGGCTCCGCATGTCACCTGGAGACAGAAAAGAAGGTTGGGAGCTGGAGAAACAGGTTCTCCTCCCGGGATACCTCTGCCACCTCAACCTATCCAGAGGGGGCAAACCAAATTAGATGGTCACTAGCCACCCTGGGCTGGGCGGGGGCGTGTGTAGCTCAGTGGTAAAGCACCTGCCTGGCCTGAGAAGAGCCCTGGCTTCCATCCAGCACCACAAAAAGAAACAAAAATGAGGGTCAGGGATTTAGCTCAGTGGTTTCGCTGCCTGCTGCGCAAGCACAAGGACCCGAGTTCGATCTCCAGTACCAAAAAAAAAAAAGAAAGAAAGAAGGAAACAAAAATAAAACCAAACTATTCCTTCTCCCTGCTCAGGTGCGCAGACAGGGATGCAGATGGGATCTCTGAATGGACTGTAACCCTAACTGGCTGTCTGCTCTGATCCCAAAGCCCTCACGCCACTGCCCACTGCCTTAGCTCACAGTTCAGAGACCTCCTGCTGCCTGACCTTTAAACTTAAGTGAAAGTACCCATTGGCACACAACACACAGGCTCCTCTCTCTTCTCTTTGCTCACCCGGAGCCAGTTCCAGAAAAAAAAACAGGAATTCCCAGCTCTGCCTACAGCTATGGCTGCTTGAGCCCACAGAGGGAGGAACAAGGTAGGCTGGGCAGGAAAAGAATATCTGAAGTCAGAGTCAGAGAGGCTTTTTTGGGGGTTGAGAGGTCTTGAGACTCTTCAAGAATCTCTTACAGCTGTGCATTCTCACCTCGAAAAACCACATTCTTGCAAAGGCTCTCTGGTATTTCACTGAAGCACAGCCTCAGAACCCTGGGATAAGAAGGCCTGTGCCAGTCTAGCTCCCTCCTCAAACTGCAGTAAACTGAGGCTCAGAATGGGGAAGGGTCACACAGCTAGCGGCACAGTGGATCTGGAAGAAAGCCAGCTTCTCAAACTTGGTTTCTGGACTCTTTAGTTCAGGGCTATCTTGAAAGTGGCTACTTTATTTTTTATGCGAGGGACTTAATCTGGTGGGAATTTTGGTAATGTATCTGATTTAGCTACTTTCCACTTACCGGTAAGTACCAGAGGCCTCAGTCTCAATCTTTCCCTCAGCCATCTCCTTCCAGAGCTCAAAAAGGAAACCTTGCAAACCCCAAGCCTTCCACAAGCCTATAGACTAGACCAGTCAGCAAACAATGGATCAAGGGCCAAACCCAACTCACTGGCCACATGAAAGTTTTATGAAACACATGTTTATGGCTGCTTTCATGCTAAGACAGCAGAGCTGTACCAGACTGTACATGGCCTGAAAAGCCTGAAATAGTCATTATCTGGCCCTTTATGGAAAAAGTTTGCCAACTCTTGCAGTATATATAGACTGTCTGTCCTCTAAATGTGGGCAGTTCTTGGGCCGGGGATTTAGCTCAGTGGTTCCGCCGCCTGCCTCTCAAGAGCAAGGACCCACGTTCGATCCCCAGTACCAAAAAAAAATGTGAGCAGTTCTAGATAATCTGACACCATTCACAGTTGACACAGCCTCTAAATACAGACATCAGTATCTTTAAAGAGAGCCCCAATCCTGACTCCTTTCCTCCCCCAAAATGCTCCATCTCCAGAATCTTAAGCTTTCCCCTAACATCGAGATCATTTCAAATCCTCCTTTAAACACCCAAAACTAAAAATACCCCCGGCATGAAAGGACCCAATTTCAGAGAGCCTCTCACAGATGCCCACACAGCAATCTCCCAAGCTCACAAACATTAGTCTCCTAACTCTTGCACTCATCCCAACATCCCTACAGAGCCCTTATCGCCACAGAAAGCCTCCCAACCCCAAAATAATACACAAAAGCTCCCTAACATTTAAAGTGAATTCCAAAACCAAAGAAATACTTCTCAAAGCCAAAAGAGACCCCAAAGAAACCTCACAAATGTTACAACAGCAAACACGTGCTTATTGCACGAGTGTTCTGGGCTCTCCGAACAACTGCTCTCCCTAGGAAGCAGGGAGCGTTAAAGAAGTTTCTGCTTCCAGATGAGGCACCGAAAGGTAAATCTCTCCCAGGGTCAGACACGTAGGAAAGTCAAGTCAGATGCGCACATTCTGGCTCCAGAACTGGTACTCTTATGTTCCCTGGAGGCCTGCAGCCCCCCACAACTGGGGGCCTTCGCTCTGAGCTACTTCCCCAGTCCTTTTTAAAACTTAAATTTACTGTTGTTGAGACAGGACCACCCTAAATCACCAGGCTGCCCAGCGTGAGCTCGAACTTTCCACCCTCCTGCCTCAGCCTCCCAGAGTGCTGGGATTACACGCCTGCGTCACCACTCAGCTCCTTGCTTCAAAGTCTGCCCAGGAACTTCCCAAATCCTATACCTACCAAACCCGGAAACCACAAAGGAGACTCCCAAGACACAGCCAAACCCCAAGGCGCCCTTTAAGCTCAAGGGAACCTCAACGTTCCCACAACCCAAAATATCACTTGAATGCAAAAACACCCCAATTTCATAGCCGCTCCCTCAAAGGGATCTCCCAAACCCCTCAGGTGACCCAGGAAATCTAGACACGCCCCCAAAGCACCCTCACCCGCAGCACCTCCCCCAGGCAGTCGTGGACACGCATGCGCGAGAAGGCAAAACGAGTGCCCGCCCCCTCTTGCTCGGGCTGTGCCGGGGCGGGCGCGAGGACTACCTTTCCTCCGCCCCGCCCCTTTGTTGACAGACGCGCGCGTGACACCCTCAGCCAATGAGCGACCTCCGATTGGGGCCGTGCCCATATAAGGAAGGCCTTGGCGAAGGGGCCCAACTTCGAAATGGGGAGGAGTAGGCCAGAGGTGACAGGAGGGGGTGGTGGAATGGAAACAGCCAGATGTAAGGGAGCAGGGAACAATTCCCAACGTCCTGCTAAACGGAAGTTAGGTCCGGACAGAGGCCACTGCACCCAAAGGAAGACTTATTACTCCACGGTCCCTCCAAAGTGGAGCCCTGATTGACAGACGAGATTTAAAGGGCCAGAGGGTCCCGGAATTGAGAACTCCAAGTCGGAAAGCAGTACCTCGAGAGGTCCGACAGTGCCTAGCTTTGGTTGAGAACCGTGGAAGAACAGAATCAGAGCTAAACTTGGCACCAGAATCACCTCACCTTTACAAACAAATGGCCACAGCCCTGCGCGGGTCTCCGTGGCACTGAGTTTAAGCCTCTGAGCCTGGCATTCAAGGCTGAAGCCACGTGCTTCATGGGACCTGTCCATTCCACCTTTCCGGCCACATAGGCCAACCCCGACTCAGTACAGAAAAACAACAGGAAATAACTCCATAATGACTTTTAAGTACTAATTACCTGTTTTAAATTCATACGGAATGCATTATTTCTGGTGTAGATCCTTTCTATTCCAGGTGAGATTCAATGCAGGCCTCTATCCAGGTGTCTCCTGTCTTCCACTACCCGCCCAGCCTTGCCTGCTTCCAGCTATCCTCCCACATGACAGCCTCAAGGCCAGCCAGGGTCTCGTAAAAGGACAAATCTATAAACATTCCCCTGTCCTTGCCTGGAACCTTCCACAGCTTCCCAGTGCCTTCTGGAAGAAGCCCAGGTACCTACCTGTCGGGCCTTATCTGTACCCACTCCTTCACCCCCACACTCAACACCCCCAGTGGAGCTTGGTGGGCACCTGACCTGGTGAAGGGAGTAGTGACAGACAATACACAGGCCTTGTCTAATCCTCAGTATCATCTCTATTGCATGGATGAAGAAACTGAAACAAGCCCAAGGTCATGAAGAACCGGGGCAAGTTGGAGCAGGGGTATGAAGCCAGGGAATCTGTTCGGGTCACTGCTTGTACTGCTTCCCTATAAGTTCCCTGGGGTTGCAGTTCAGGCTCCCCTCCTCCAGGAAGCTCACCCCTCAGGCTGGGGCAGGCTCCTCTCTGGGCTCTTTGCTATCTATTTCTCAAAGTCACCGAATTCCTCCCTTCCCTGGTCTGCATTTGCTGTTCCTGTAAACTGCAAAGCATACCCCTAGATCTCCACCTGGCTCAGTTCCTTACTTAACTCAGGTGTTTGCTCAAATGTAATTTTATATAAGAAGCCCTTCCCTGAATTCCCTTCTGGAAACTACCTGCCCATGCAGAGGAATGACCTCCCTGTTCCCTCATCCCAGCCATGCAGCTCCGGGTATTCGCAGATAAATCTGCGTCTGGATTGTGCAGAGGGGAAGGCAGGATCTAAGACCCTTCAATTCTAAAATATCACCACCCAAAAGATGAAAGACAAAATGATGGAAAAAGACTGACCAAGCAAATAGGAACCAAGGGACAAGTAGAGCAGTGATAGTACCGTTAAAAATAATAATAGTATATCTTGGAAACAGCCCAAATGCCCATCAATTGACAAGTAGATAAAGAAGATTTTTTTTATACAATGGAATACTACTCTGCCATAAAGAAAGATGGGCTTCAGGCAATTATAGCTAAATGGACCTTGAGACCATACTCTTAAGTGACATAAATCGGACAAACATGTTTAAATACCACATTGTTCCTCTGGTGTGAGAAACTGAATATGGAAATAAGGTCTGAGATGTATAATGAATGTTTGGAAGTGGAAAAAAGTGTTCAAATGAGAAGGGGAACAAGGGAGGAAGGAGAGAGAGAGGAAGGGACAAGAAAAAAAAGTGAAAATAGAAGGAAAAAATGGAAACGCTTTTGGACATAGGGAGAGGAGGGGGCTTGGGGGGAATGGGATAAAATAAAATTTATTTAAAATAATAATAATAGGGCCAGGGATTTAGCTCAGTGGTTTCACCACCTGCTGCACAAGCGCAAGGACCCGAGATCGATCCCTGGTACCAAAATAATAATAATAATAATAATAATAATAATAATAAAATAATAATAATAAAGCTGAATGTGGTGGTACACACCTGTAACCTCAGTGCTCCAGAGCCTGAGGCAGGAGGATCGCTGCAAGTTCAAGGCCAGCCTGAACTACATAGTAAGACTCTGTCTCTAAAAACCTAAATAAGGCTGGGGATTTAGCTCAGTGGTTCCGCTGCCTGATTCACAAGTGCAAGGACCAGAGTTCGATCCCCGGTACCAAAAAACAAAACACCTAAATAAATAAATAGAAAAACTAAACAAACAAACTGGCAAAGGTGGTGACAAAATAAACTGACCCATTATATACAAAAATTCCCAGCATGCAGGATCCTAATACGATAGTCTCAAAACATAAATCAGAAAACAATCATCATTGCACATGACAGCCTTAAGCCTACACAATGACAAAAGAGAATTTTAATGTAACTGTAACATCTCTCAGAATAGATTTTATGAGAAAATAAAATTAGTAAGGACCCAAGCCACACAAGCTACGCCCTGACGGAATGCCCCCAACAATTACAGAATCCACATGTTCACATCCTCAGTTTACACAGAACATTTGCAAAAACTTGTCTCAAACATTCAGAGGTCTTCCTGTGTCCTGCCCCTGGCTTGGAATGCATAGGTGACATTGAGCTCACCAGAAAGAGCTCATGAGAAAGGGGGAACACATCCAAATAAACGATCATAACCAACAAGGATATATTAATTACAACAGCACTTAATACCAGAGCACTCACTGTGTGCCAGGCCCTGAGCACTTTACAAGGATTAACCTATTTAGTGCTCACATCTTCTCACCATTTATAATGTCATCTTGTTATGGTTTATAACTCGATGTCTCCCCAAAGCCTCATGTGCACACAGGTGGGGTGTTTGGGAGCTGACTGGATCATGGGCACATGATACTCCACTGATGAGCTTATAGCTAAGCATGATATGGGAGGTAAAGCCGGGTCTGAGGAGGGGGTCACTAGGGGCGTGGCCTGGAAGGGCCTAGCTCCCTCCCTACACCCTTGATCACTCTGTGCTTCCTGCCTGCCAAGCGGTCAAGCAATTCTCCTCCACCACACGGCCCAGCCTTGGAGCCAGCCAACTATGGACTGAAATCTCTGCAACTGTGACCAAAATAACCCTTTCCTCCTCTAAACTGTGGGCATTGGGTATTGCGTCTCAGTGATGAAAAAGTAACTATGGCAAAGACAGGAAACTGAGGCACAGAACACCTAAGAAATAGCCTGCATTCAGGCTGGGGATTTAGCTCAGTGGTGCCAGCACCTGCCTGGCAAGCACAAGGTCCTGAGTTCGATCCACAGTACTGAGGAGAAAAAAAAGTGAGAAATAGCCCTCATTTGAAGCTTTTACCTCTGCCTAAAATGCTCTTCCTCAGCTTATCAAGCCCTTTGAGTCCTTTTTGATTTAAAACCACCATCCGTCCTCCCAAAAGACACACATGCTCATTCTTCTTCCCTGATTCAGTTTTCTCCTTAGCACACATAACTATCAAATATACTAAAAACTGTTTAGAGGTCAAATTACCTCCCCCTCAGTATTTCCACCGTTACTTCTGCAGCTTCCGGGGCAGTGGCCACATGGCATACCCTGGGAGTTTGTTGGAAGCGCAGACTCTTGGTCCCTACCCAGGGCTGCTGAATAGGAAAGTGCACTTGAACAAGCTCTCCAGGGCACTCGTGGATAAGCAATGCCCCAGCACACAGTGGGTATGCAAAACACATTTGTCTGAATGAAGGAAGGAACTCCTACCGGCCTTGCCACCCAGCTTCTGCTCCAGCCAGCACCTTCAGTGGAAATTCTGCACCAGGAGAGAAGGATGCCACTGCCTCCAGGAAGCTGTCCTAGTACCTTCCCAAGCTACAGGTGCTCTCATTCTCCTGAGGCTTCCTCTTATAACACCTGCTAAGTGGCAGCGAGCTGAGTGGGTGAGGTCTCTCTCTTAACCAGCCTGTCGGCTTCAGGAAGCTGAGACCTCTCCTCATAGGCAGAGCTGTTCCAATCTCCGTCCCTGGCTTCCGGGCCGGTTTAGCTCTTGGGCTCCATCCTTTCCATGGTAGCCTGAGGGATCTTTCCAAGTACTCAAAACAATGTATGTCTCATGAACCCTTTCTTAGGAAGTAACTGGAGCAATTGCTTCACCACAATGAAGAAATAGCTGGGCATGGTGGTGCCTGCCTATAATCCCAGCACTTGGAAGGCTGAGGCAGGAAGATCACCTCAAATTTAAGGCTAGCCTGGGCTACACAGTGAGTTCAAGGCCAACCTGAACTACATAGTGAGATCCTGTCTCAAAACAAAAACAGAAACAACCAGAAGCTAAGCATGAGCCTAAGAAGTCCAGTGGTGGGTGGAGAGACAAAACACAGGACACAGAGCACAGGGGAGGGCAGAGAGCAGGTGCTCAGGGAATGCACTTGCCTAATCACACCAGAATTGGTGGCAGGAACAACAGAAAAAAAGAATTGGTGACAGGATACCAGTGCTGTGTTACTTCCAGGTCCTGTTCGTTCATTTGTCCTTTTTTTTTTTGGTTTTTGAGATAGGGTATCACTATGTAATTCAGGCTGTCCTTAACTCACTATGCAGCCCAGGCTGGCTTCGAACTCTTGAGGATCCTCTTGCCTCAGCCTCCTGAGTGCTGGGATTACAGGTTTGTGCCATCAAGCCTGGCTA